AATAAAAGTGATTTTCAGCTTGAAAACAGTAAGATCAATAAAAAGCGAACTCAATGTAAGTCCGCAATCACAAATCAGTAAACTAGGTCAAAAAATTACAAAAATCAGAACTCCCAACCATATACCGAAATCGAAAAGGCTTACTTTAATCGAAGGATAGGAGACGAGTTGGAGAGGTCCAACGACGAGGAGGAACATGCGCATTACATCGAAGTAGCAATTGAGATTATCCGCGAAAGAGAACTTGACTTTGGGTTGAATTTTGTAAGCGATAACGTTTTTAGAGAAGAGGAGTTCGATGAAAACGTAGAAGAGAGGGACGATAGTGAAGACGAGGAAGAGGAAGAGAATGTTGTGGCAGTAGAGGAAGTAATCCGATTTGGTGGCGGAGTAATTGAACCAGAAGGTTTCAGCGGCGGTAAGTGATCGGCCGATGGCGGTTTCGGCGTCTTGTAGGGAGGCGTAGGGCAGCATTTTGTGGTTGTGGGAGAAATGGGGATCAGAGGCGACGTGAACTAGAAAGAGGAGTGGGTTATTTCTGTTAAAATATTGGGGGGAAACTGGAAAGCAAGGGAGCTATGGTGGTGAATTCCTACACGTCTTTTTCTTCATTGTGTTTATATAAATCTCTAAAAACTAAATTCATAAAAAATATTGAACAAAACATAGAAAAACAATTATATTGGAAAAAAACAAACTTATATTATTTCTATAGATATAGATTGTATCCAAATTCCCAATAACAGTATATTAGTCAATCGTTTAAGTGATGTTATAGTTGTTGTTGATAGTACATGTATACAAATATAAAACTCGATAGAAATTAATATGGTTGTGATCGAGTTTTATATGACATTGTTACTATCAGGGAATATTTAATTGCTGTATCAGATAAGTAAAATTGAATGATATATTTTTTACAAATTTTCTTTTAAATATAAAATGGATAGGTAAAAAGATGTGTATTTTTTTATGAATAAGGAAATAATGTAAATGTTTTTTTTTTGTATCTGATTACATATTAGTTTTTTTTTTTTTTTAAATGTATTTACCTCTAAAATATTATATTTATTATATATAAATTTAAAAAAATTAGCTTATACGTCTAAATACATGTTTTAGCTTGTTAGCCTTTTGGGAGAGTTCTAAAATGTAAAATTATACTATCAAGCAACAAAACTATTTGTTGGGTAAATTAGTTTTTGTTTAAAATAATAATTTACAGTTAATTTTTTATTTATGCTACCAACTAAAAGTAAGTTCTAATTTTCCATAACAATATACTAAAAAAAAGTATATATATTTTTTGATTGGTTGCTTAAAAAAATCAAATGGAATTATGATTTTCCTGAAAAGGTTAATTACTAAAAACATGAATCGGACAAATTAGGCTTCCTATTTTATACAAATTAAACAAAACGTATACTTTTTGAAAAGTATATCTTTTATGTTAAAATAGAAAATTCTGTTTAGGCATCACGTTTTCATGAATGCATTAGTTGATTAAAATTAGGAGTGTAGTTATGGCCTTATGGGTAAATAGCCCATAAGTTGATTAATTTCAGAAATTTATATTAGCTTTTTCCTCTATTAAGTTGAATCTAGTACGATACAAAATTTATAGTAGACTTCATCTATCTTTAGATGGGGCATACTCTTGGTTTACTTTACCTTTCTTTGCCTAAACCTTAATTTTCATAAAGGTTTAAAAGAATTTGTGACCATAGTATAATCATTTTCTCAAATAACGGTCTAAAGTTGATTAGAAAACCATCAACAATATATTAATCAAAATAGTTGAAGAAGCAAAACGGCCTGAAAAACGATATACATACAAACATAAAGTTGAATAATACATAATAAATTTACTCTAATTGAATCTTTATAATGAATTAAACAAATTAATCATATCAGAAATTTGGCAATTCTTATTAACAAACTGTTGGTACTTTCACTATAATTAATAAATTGATTCTACTGTGGATACATATTCACTAATAGTGTTGGACTATTGGTAATTCACTTTAATCAATTTAACTCTAGCAAGAACCAAAAGCCACCCTTTTCTATACTTTTATATACCTTTTTATACTTTAATGAAAATTTAAGCAATTTCAAATTACAGATTTAATATTCAAACCAAACAAAGTGACCCTTACTTAGTAAAGTAAGTATAAAATTAGCAACAATTAGTGAAAACTAAATAAAATTAGCAATTAAACAAACTGATATTACATAAATAAATTTATATATATTTATAAATACTAGCCGCAAGAAGAAGTTATTTATCATGAGAACTCAAGGTTGAGTTGTTCTCAATTAAGGGAGAATGACGCTAGCAGATTATATAAAGATTTAGCTCATGCTTTCATGGCCAAATGAGAGAACCCCAAACGGGATCAAAAAAATACTTAAATTAAAACGGACGTAACTGTGGTTTCCCAATTTTTTTTAGTTTTTTTAGTTTATATATATATATATATATATATATATATATATATATATATATATATATATATATATATATATATATATATAGTTAGATCCTTAACTACAATAATTTATTGTTAATTTCATGTTTCCAAAATTTGGAGAAGATAAAAGCTTACTTTATGAAGTTTCCACACTTTTGTGTTTGTTTATTTCTGTGATGCATAGGTTTTTGTCTCGCCGCCAGCGCCCAAACAACCATCCTACCGACGTTGCATTGAGTTCTTGTCCAAAGAAGAAAATAAAATACGATAACTAAAACCAACTAAGACTCAAATTATCGTTTCAATAATAAAAGTGTAACATGAAAATTCACATATATATATAGTCATAGAAGTGTAACATGAAAATTACGAATACTAATATAATGTTTACTCTTTACTAACAACTGGATCACGTGAATCACGTCTATTATTGTTGTTTAAGTTATAATATAAATTTGATTTTGATTTCTTTTTGGTATTTAAGTTGTTCTTTAGTTAAGGTATTTAAATATGAATATTGAAGATTAAATAAAAGAAGAAAATGAGGATAGAGTGATCATTTAAGAGGAACTTAAGAGTTAAGACCACACCTTCAATGTAAATGGACCATCTAAGGTGCAATAAGTTAACAAACCACTATTTTATTGATGGCACATGCAAAAAAACAAACCATAAACGGATGTCATAACTTTCAATGAAAACGATGATTTTTTTTGTAGTTTAGTCAAAATCGTTTATCGTCAAAAAAAACAATTTGGAAAAATAATTATAATACATTTGGTGAAAAGTAATTAATGAATGTTTTGATTTTTTTTTTTATATTATTAGAGATGAGAATTAACAAATTTGGAGAAAACTGTAAACCCAACCTCGTGTCAATTTTCGATAATCAATTTGCAAAATAAATTATTAGTAAGGAATGACATCGATTGACCGATGCTTGACACTATTTTCCTTAAACATATTTGTTGTTCGCTCCTAGGGTACAACATATGAAGCAGTGTGTACTGCCGCATTACATCACTTGCCTGAAAAGTTCGTCGGACCTCGTATCAAATTAACAAAGTTGTGTTTTTTTGACCATTTATTTAGATGTAGGTTCACATCTAAGATTTTATGGATAAATCGATAGATTAAAGATTTTGTTGAAGTCGAAACGTTCTTCGTTTTTGTCTTAAACTTTTCAAGGAAATTTATCATCTCTTTTATTGCCTTGAAGTGCAAACTATCCTGTACTCTTTGTAGATTCTTTTCATATGATTTTTCTATCAAATTTCAAAAATAAAAAAAAAAAAAACAATTAAACTTTTATATAAAAACATGAAAAAATGTTGCATCGATATGCTGTCTTTTTCGGGGTTGTATCTGATTCGATATTTAACCAAAATATGTATTTTTAAAGTCTAAATTGAAGTACAAACAATACATACATGTTGGAAAAAAAAATCAAGTAATTCCGACTTCATATGAGTGAGTTATGATATTTTAAAAATTAGGACAATAAAAAACATGTTGAAACAAATGAAATGTCGCCTTGATATGATGTATTTCTGGGTTTATATATGATTCAATATTTAACCAAAATATGATTATTTTTTACAGTCTAAACTGAAATACAAACAATAAATTAAATGTAGAAAACAATCACGTAATTCTGACTTCATATGAGTAAGTTATGGTATTTTAAAAAGTAGGACAAAATAAAAAAACATGTTAAAACAGAAAAAATGTTGCATTGATATTCTATATTTTCGGGATTGTATTTGATTCAATATTAACCAAAATATAATTTTTTACAGTCTAAACTGAAGTACAAACAGTAAATTAAATACTGGTAAAAAATCAAGTAATTCCAATTTCATATAAGTGAGTTATAGTACTTTAAAAATAAGGACAGACTCAAAAATATGCTGAAAGATTAAAAAAAAAAGTAATACCTTTGATGCCAAATTCCACAAACACGTCTCGTAACTCATAGGTGGTATTCAACAACTCGAATGTCGAGTTCGATTGGGTTGGAGAGTTGCCACATAAAAAATGCTTTGTTTCCAACCTCACATCTTTGATGACTTTTTTAATCTTCTTTATCCTTTGTGTTGAACCTCTAATATACTTCATAGCTAATAGTATGGTATTTTAACCCAACCTTCGCGATAAGGTTTAGGATATGAGCAATACATTGAATGTGGAAATGTTTTCCACCGTCGTAAATTGTGGGAAACATTTAAACAAAAAATTCGATTGTCGTGTCATTACATGTGGCATTATCGATAGTCATTGACATCACATTTTTCATATCCAACCCATGTATGCATGCTAGTAACTCTCATCAATTTTACCCACCTTTATGTCTATCTATCACCCTAAATTTGATGACTCTCTTATGCATGAACCAATCGTCCTCAATAAAATGGGTCGTAACAACCATGTAATTGACCTTTTTACAAGAGGATGTCCAAGTGTCGGTTGTCAAATGTATGGCAGTGTTTGCGTTACTAAAATACTTGAACAACTTATTCCTCTCATCTAAGTAAACGTGCCTCCATCTCGGGAAATTTTATGTCTAGAAGGCAAGATCACCCTACTATTAAGCACGTTAGTGTATTCAATAAATGCTTCATGTTCAACGTACTTGAATGATAATTCTCCAATGGTAAAAAGGCATAGTAATGCTCGTTTGATCCTAGCATCATCTTGTTTCCATGTTTGTACACTAATCTCAACATTTGGTTCCTTCTTAAAATTCAATTTGGCTTGCTTTTTATCATTCTTTTCTTCGTTATCCGGGTTTAACTTGCAGTTCTTCCAATGTTTGTTCATATTAGACGTCCCGTTTCGATCTGTCTTGGCTTTAAGTATTGTTTTACAATAAAAACATTCAAAACTTTTCCTTTCAACACCATCATCCTCTACAATCCACATCAACCCGAACGCTACCCAACAAGGACCAGTTCCTTTATGATTATTCCTTGATCTTTCTCGTTTGCTAGTAATTGGTTTTGGGCCTTTTGGCACACCTCCATTCCTTTTTTGTTTCTTAAAATTTGGCTTTGCCACGTCTTCTTTTTTCGGACCCGTCACTAATATTATTAATCACGGGTGGTGTATCACCGATAAAATCATCTTAATAATCCTACATTTAGAAAACGAGTTCAAAAAAATATTATATATCATCAAGAAAAATGAGTTAAAAAAAATTGTGTTCAAACAAATATTATATATCATCTAAGCACCTAACAATTGTTTTGAATCTCCCTATCAAAAAATTTATATTGAATTTAGTCAATTTACAAATGTACCCATGTACCCTATGATTCTAAACATTCTTTCATATTGAAAAAACAAACACAAAGAAGAAATTGGTAGGGTTTTGGATGTGTTTTTATCTTTGTGGAAGCTTCTAACACTTGAAAGATACTATTTTCTTGATTCAAAATTGAAATTTTGATATAGTGATGCCAAGAGATTGTGTCGCGACAATGATTTAACTATATATTAACTATTCAATTATGATATAATAATAGTCAATTTGTGAGTTGTATGAATAGACAACACAACAATACCAAGCAACAAAGTAACAACAACACAAGCATGTTACAAAAAATGGTTTTTTTTTGTTTAACATTCTTTAACATTTTCCTTTAGCATTTTTTAAAACCTAAAGTAATCCTTAATAGTAACAAAAACTTGAGTTTCATCCAATTTCATGTTAATCCAATTACTTGATCTTGGATTTACACAGAACCAATTTTTTTCTTCACGGTTAAGTATTTATTGAGTGTTGAATGTTGATCGCTAGTCGGGATGAGCCGATGATAATCAATCGTGATTTCCCCAAGGCCGACCGTCGTTTCATTTTTCCTCTGTGATGATCAAGCTTTTTCTTTTTTCCTTAGACTAGTTGATTTTGTTTAGGTTAAATCCGAATATATTAGGATTTAGGAGAATCAGTCAATCAGATAATATTTCCAAACTAGATTTGCATGAATTTTGACTTTTACACTTCCATGTCGGTTCCAGTTTTTTAACCGGTTTTTGTTAGAACCGAATCGATGTTAGAACCGGGACTGGTTATGCTATAAGTCGAGAACTGATAACTGAACCTTTTTATTAAATTATGACCGGATTTGTGTCGGTTCCGATTCTAACGGTTAAAAAGCTCATCGCTAATAACAACCAATCACATGTTATTTTAACTTATACCTTAAACAAAAAAAACTCACACAACTATTAATTTCAAACAATTAATCACTAAAACTTAAAAGTTTTTTACCTTATGATAATTAATTGTTACTTATAACCCTACTTTGCTAAAATGGTCATACATATAGTTGACATTAGTATACGAGCTTGATAGAGTTTGAAGAACAAGATGGAAGAATAGATTACTTGAGAAAGTGTAATGCTATATTGAATGAGGAAGAGGTAAATGCAATTTTAGAATATGACAATTTGTATAAACCAAAACTCTACTTAGACGGTATTTTTTTATATTGTTCATTTAGTGTTCTTACGAATTCTGTCATAATGTATTGTACATCCATGTATATTATAGATTATGATTGTTATTTATGAGATGTAACAAAAATATCATGAAGAGAATACTATGAAGAGTTTATGAAATTCCTAGTTGCCATTTATTTATTTTGAAAGGGTTAATAAACAATGTGAATAATTATATAATTGAAGACTTAATCGTTGTGGGTTTGACAAACAGGGTTCATAAAGCAAACATTCCACAAGATACTTCTGAAGCATAGCTATTACTCCCAACAACCTTTAACTGTCCACATGATCCAAACCAGATGGTCACTAAGTCTCCCGACTCCCAACAAACAAATATTACCTAAACATGCCAAGAAGAATAACGATTACCTAAGAGTCTCAATCACATTTCTACTGGGCCCCACCCATATGAATCATACAACCATTGGTTCACGATACATTGTGACACATTCTAACCACTAAATGATAAACTCATGGTACTATGCCGATCTGGCTATCATCCCATCACTGGCCTGAAGACTCAAGACCAGCACCATAGGGGCCTAAAGATACTCAACCATCAATCCACTAACTTGCAGGAACCCAATCAACATCCCTCCCAATGCTAACCGAACACAACACGGGTCATACCCTTCTATCATGCATAATACATTTCATAGTATTGGCCGCTACCAACACAAAATTAGATGAAAACATGGTCGCACACAACCAAAGAGTGAGATAGGTGTTGCACTCTTGTTCCAATTCAAGGGCTACAAACCAATTAGGAACCATGCCAATAACTTGAGCCAAGTTTTCTCATGCTATCTTACTTAGCCTACATATATCCCCAAGGGAAACACATAACCAACCTAGATCTACTACACTTCTTCTTCCTCATAATCTTACCCATAGGGTGTGGTACCAGTAGATCTAACCAAAATGATGAACCTCAACCGTTAACAGAAACATCCTCATGAATGGTCGAAACTAAGATCCCACATAAAATCGAACAGATCCTACCAATATGTAACTAGCTCGATAAAACTTCTAAAGTTATTAGAAATTTTGTCAAAACCCTGGTCGGGTCAATCCAGATACCAACTTTGCAACATGCCAAAATTAGATTATGCACAGATCATAACCGACACATGAAAAACTAAACAAAGTTGCCCCAACATCCGAACTTCCAATTACCAAGGACATCTGCCAAACTTGAGCCTGCTATGAAAAATAATTCCACAACCAACCATTGAGGGTACCCATACCCAAAAACCAAAATGTACAATATACAAATTTTGACAATAGGTAACACATCCCTTAAACTCCAACTCATACAACTCAAAACTTCCAAAGAACCTCTACTATTGACAATGAACAAAAAGACCAATGATCGAGAGTGCCTTGACAACTATTGCATTGGTCCAATACATTACTGGACAAAGCCCATGAGAAACTAAAGATGCTAAACTTTAAAATTGATTGGGTGATCATTAACTGCCCATCCTAGACTATAGATATCAATTTATACAACAAGCTGACAAATCCCTCAATAATTGATACTAAACCTGAGCACCCCAAACACATCTTGACCTATCCCTCGACATTCCAAAAAGGAACCACTAACTACAATGAGCTCCTTGTCCAACATCTTCTTGCCGCGAAGACAACTCTTTGCATTTCCAAACATATACATCTAATGTCAACTTGCTCCGCAACTCTGTCTTGACCAAATCCTAAACTAAAGTTTCACATACCCGAACCATAAATCCCTATGACACATTCTTCTGAATCCATAACTCGAATTGGTCAATGATCCTCCAAGTATAATATCCAGCTCTCCCTCACTTAGGTTTTGAACTACCACTAACTGACATTGTAAACAAACCAAAAATCAAACCGGCTCACCCAAATACATAGCATCACCGACCCTTGGAATGTATAACACAACGCAAGATGATCTTCCAAATAAATACCAATCAAACTCAAAGAGATTCTGAATCTCAGATGGAGACCTCAGGAACTACTCAAGCATGACTGTCTCTAACATCAAGAATCCCATGCAGATGTACAAGCAACAATTCTGACAGTCTAATCATAACACCAACTTCATATCTAAAAAAATGGACTACCACACTCTTCGCCTAATAATCCCCAACCATTAGTTCATCTCGGTAATCATTCATAAATACAAAAGGCATCATTCTCATAGTCGGGATACATCAGAGTCAATAAAAGTTGTCGCTCCCAATTCACTTCCCTGATTACCTGGAACCATTAGCTAGCACCTGACCTGCCTACAACCAAAGAAAGCAGACCCTTGATCTCATCTCAATCCAACCATACCACAAGAATCCTCTTGTGCATTCCGACATTTCCATACCACCACCAAATACCACATCTATCTAGCCCCATGTTGGGTCTACATCCCAACTCTAAAAATCACATGTCTGCTCTCTCTTTCTCTCTCTCTCTCTCTCTCTCTCCTCCAAACATGAAAAGCTAGAAGAATATAGTGTCACACCCCCAAACCAGGCGGCGGAAACGTTTGGGGGCTGTCGTGACTCAATTGAATACCATAACATTGAATATATATGAAACGTAACAACATTCGTCACCATGCATTAATATAGTACAACCAGTAAAGTTTACATGAAGTACATTGTTTAAACATTTCATTCCCAAAAATAAATTGTTCAATTCGTTAATAAATAAACTGCAAGCCATCACTGAGTACGATTTCCTTGAATTCACTGGTTACCTGAGAATACAAGTATTTTGAAAAACGTCAACATATGAAATGTTGGTGAGTTCATAAGCGGTATTTGAAGAAAAACAATGTTTCGTATCATTTGAAAATCACCAGAAAATCTGATATTTTCTGAAAAGAAAAGCTTTTGAAAACGTTTGTGAAGATCCATAGGTATGCTTGTTTGTTTCTATACTTGTAAAAATTGTTCATTGAAGTTGTATGCATTTCAAATCTGTATGTATTGAAAAACCTAGGAAAACCCGATGTTTTCCTAATTCCTTGAATTCCATGAAGTCACATTGAAACCATTGCATAGCGCGTAGTGTCAGTCCCAGGCGACGTTGGATTATTTTTGAGCATGATTATTTGCTACAAACACGCATTACACAAACGACCAGTTTATAGCTATACTAACGATCCCGTAGGCGTCGTCCGTATTAATCACGTTATCCAATCGCCCTGACTATGTGTAGTCCCACATCCGAAGAGAAAGAGGACACGAAGACCTCGATGACTCTATTAACCGGTTGGGGATAAAAATGTACGAGGGGTCCCAGACCCGCCTCGCATGAAATGTAGACTTTACTAGCAATACCAAAGGACCCTTGGGGACCAGTAGTATACAAGCCATTGAAAGTCCTTTTACGTTGTGTCAGGTCGGTAAAACCCAACACTTCGTAAGATA